GAAAGGTACGGGCTTTCAGCGTGTATCCATATGTATTAGTTCATCCCTTGAAAGTTTTAAGAAAATCCGACTTAAAATAAATTTTTGGCGAACACTTTTGTCTGGTGCATTTTTTTCATGTACAGGCCTTATATTAAGAAAACACTTACCTTCTTAGAAAATAAAAATATCCCGTATTTACCACAAAAAAAAACCGTAATCCAACAAACTTGCCTCAATACCCAAGCGCAATGACAGTGGCAGCAGAAAAGCCCGATCTGAGCAAGCCTACTTGTCGGATTGAAAACTAGCTAGAATCAAATCGATTTCGGTTACGCATCCTGATGTCATTTGTGACTACTGTCAAACTTTCGGTTTCCGTTCCGCTTCCGCCCACATTGCGTGTGGGCCTTCAGTGTCTTCCAATTGAAGATTTTATTTTGGAAATACGAGTTGATGTCGTTGGTTGCATTCGTAAAATCGATTTAAATGCTGTACGTCACATCACGAAAAAGCTACGTCAAACATCTGGTAACAGACCTTAGTCAAATGTTCTTTAATTTTTTGTAGATAACGTGTCGTAGCTTCATTTGATAAGGTTTCCAAATAATAAAAAAAAGCAATAAGAGCTAAAACATCATTTCCTATATGGAATGTGTAAAAATAACACTCATGAAAAATTATTATCAATACACATACATACATTGCAAAAACGGCTTGTTTGATGATTTCAGGAATATTATGAAGAGCTTTGAGTGGTGTTGAGTACTTGGCACAGATGAAGTCTGCAAGTAGTAGACGAAAAACGCGTATCTATCAAAAGATAAGCAATAATAACGGAATTTAAAGGAAATAAACCAACACACTCAAAGCTCTTCATAAAGGGATTCCGTTAAGAGGTTCGACAAATTTAAAAGATTGAGGAATATTATATTATTAAATAAGATTTTGGAGAAATTATTTTTTTATAATCAGCAACAATCAGCACAGTCACAAGGTGGCAGAGTGAGTTACCCCTTGCACCATATCAATCACACAAATCGTTGCGACAATATTTATAGCACAGACAAACAGACGTAACTCTTTGAAAAACTTGTTCTTGAAAACATAGTATCTCAAAACATATAACGTCAGTAACGACATCTCTCTGGCTTCTCGCGGAAAACAAGCTTGCTCGCTAACTCGTAAACAATATTGCATAAAAGTTCTATAGAATGTATAGAAACGTCAAAGTGATCCGATGCCAGCGCTGCGGCGAGTAGTTCGCGGAACTGATAATATTCAAATCAACCGTTAAATGCATGAACGAAGATACACAATGAAGAGTTACGTCTGTTTGTCTGTGTTTATAGTTTAACTCATTAGTACTGTTTTTACACATGTCCTGTTGGAAAAGTCGTCGGACGTTTATTTTTGCTGTTCTAATTTTTTTCTCTACTTGGGTGCTGCTCGAGTGATTTTTTTTTTGAGGATATCAAGACTTTGGCTCTACAACTAGAAGTCAAGCAAATAGAGATCTGAAGTTTGTAAAGTGTGAATCTGAACCATGAAGTCTGAGCAGTGATACTCAAATTGGATGGATCTGCTGTGATTTTTGTCTAGGCTGGATCTACATTTCCTTTGTGGTTCGTCTTCATAAGGGCTGTACTGCAATGGCTGCTTCTGAGCCCCGAGCAGCGTGTATTTTTACAAGTGGCTTTGAAACCAATATTGAGCCTCAAACGAACTCGTGACTTCTCGATATTATGATGGAGGTGTGGCGGATCGCTGAACCTATCAAAGGAGAACATTACTCGGGGAATTTCAGACAGATGAACCGGAACGGTATATGTTGGTTCATGTCAAGAAGTGGATCATCTATAATTGGGATTGCTACGCTGGAAAGTGGCATAGCGTCTTGTTGCAGACTTGGTGAGATCGTTCTTTTTTTGACGTAGGACTACGTCTGTGATTTCCACATGGGGATACACTTTGTGAAAACCAAAACTGGAACATGTAACAAAATTATGAAAGATTTTGAACGTTAATAACTCAACTGCTCCTGGACCAATTTCAATAATTTTAACACCAATCGATCAGAAATATTTCTACGCATCTGTCAAATTTAAGACTTCATTTTTTTAATTTTACTATTGAAAATTGAACGAATGTGCAACTGTTGCTATGATAATTAAAATTATCACCGATTACCTGCAAAAAACGATTTCCCTAACACAGATTTTAAAGTTGAATTCCATTCGGTCTCACCATACGGTGTTTATTCAATAACCGCGTGGTGAGTGGTGGTGTTCTGTAGTACACAACGAAAGGCTCCCCGCAAGCAACTAGCTATCAAGGCAGCCCACAACCGCTGATCGAATTCAGTTCCAATCACCGTGTGTGGTGTTGTCAGGTCGTTGCCATCAGCAGCAGCAGCGTCGACATTGTTTTCCAGTACACAACGAAAGGCTGCCTGCAAGCAGCGAGCTGCAGCCCACATGAGCATCCATAGAAGGAGGAACACCGCTATTGATCGGAATCAGTAGCTCTTAGTGAGTCGCTGTGGGCCATCTATGTCAAGCGCGTCATACAAAAGAGTATAAACAGAGAGAACCCCACTCAAATTCCTATTCCTACACAAAACACAAGCTCCTGCTGCAGTTGACAAATAGGATTTATTATATAAGACCACGTAGTCCTACGTCACCATTGCGTACAACCCCATAGGACTGTCCCTTGTAGTACTTTGTTTCCGTGAATCCATGTTTGAAGTAGATCATGTGCCCACGGTTTGAGACGGAGTAGACTGTGCGTGTGATCGAACGTGACGTTTGTTTTTTTTTCGTGGTTTTTTTTTTATCTATAATCGGTTGCTGATCTGGTCAAAACAAGGCCCAGGAGACGATTTCTAGTTTGTCAGCGAGTTCATTAAGACTGAAGAAGTCCTGCGAGAGCTGCATCTCATTGTATCTAGTTCTACCTCCCTGTTATTTCCCGCTGAGAAGCTCTTCCGAAGACAAGTTGAACCTCCATGAGGCGTCCCATCATTCGTCTCAGCGTTGAGTCGCAGCGCTGAACCTGAAGATTTACCACGAAAAGGCTTGCCAATGCACATACACTTAGACAAATTAATGTAAATTTAGGTGCTCCGAGAGCGACATATACGAGCGTCAATTTTGACATAAATTTGACGCGAAATATAGCTCAATCAAACGTACTTTTCGTCGAACAACGAAGTTTTCAGTTTCGGGGTACGTAATATTACATGACATGTTTGTTTACGTCTTTTATGTCCAAGATGAATTCCGTCACGTGTAAAATTAGCTATTTCTAAGTGTGCATCAAAAATCGACTACATACATCCGAACATTTTTTATCTCAAATCGAGGGAAGACATTCCGCTCAACTACCATAAACCGGACTAGTTTATGTTGATCTTCGTCAAGTTTCGTCTACAATTAGGACTTCTACATCAACACATGTCAAGCTGCCTTCAGGTTCAATTGGCTAAACTTGGTGAGTTCGTTACTTTTTGTAAATTTTTATCTTTTCAAACCAGTAACGTTGGGAGATCACCTTTTTGTGGTGTGTTTCTGTTATAAGATCTACCACCGAACCCTAGTCGAGACAACTTCAAACTTGGAAATCAGGATTTTCCAGTAATCAAAGGATCACATTTTAGTTCTTGTTACTTTTTATGACTTGATAATAGTGTCAAGACTCGGGTAGTGACCACCGCCGTTATGCATTTCTATATTGTATATTTCAAATAAAAAATATTGTTTATGTTCATAGAGGTTACATAATCCTTTTCCCTTTGTCCTTCTCCTTTTTCATTCCCTCTTATCTTTTCAGAAAGCGAGTAATGGCGCTATAGTCATAAGCCATAAAAGGCTAGGACAAGAGTTAGTGCTCATGTCAACGACCAACCAATCATATTATTACCAAAATCGGAACGTACGGTACGAGATGTCCATGTTTCTTCCACTTATTGGATTCTGAAGCATCGTGTTTTTTTAATCATCTTGCCCCTTAAATGCTGCACAGTAGGCCTGGCCGTTTTGATATGTGTGACGCATCTTCGATGTGAAACATATATCAAATAGACAAGAAAAATGATGGAGGTATATCCATCATTTTCCAGGATGCTTTCAAGAACTGGCTTTGTTGGTTTTAGATTAGATTATTAGATTAGATGCCCTGTTGGAAAAGTAGTCGTGCCCCAATATGAAGAATTGATAACATAAATTACATTTTTACTAGAAAGGAACTACTGTGCAACACTTCAGCTAAATTGGAAATGCTCGTTAAGGATCGATTTTAGATTCTCAAATCAGAGACGGAGTCGGTTGATTTAGATCAGACTCCGCAGCCCTGAGAAAATCGAAATGGACGTAATGTCGGCCTAAATGTCCCTAATATGGGCCCATACATAAATTCAACAATCGACTAAATTTGCAATAGCAACCAAAAATATCCATTAGTACCGTCCCAATGACGCGTTCATCTAGATAAAATTGATAAATAGCAGATTTTTAGCGATGGGCCCAATATTAGATCCATAAGCCAACATTAGAGCCATTTCCCTTATGTTGCAAAATTTAGGAACGAAAAAAAAATCCCAAATCGAACCAGCCACCTCCGGCATGGTATGTTGTGCCTTTATTGACTAGGCTAAAAATCACCGAACATTAACATAATACCGCTTGAATGAAATTTTAAAGCAACCCGTGTTATACGCTTATACAAAAGAATGTATTAACTATTTCCTATAGAGCACATATTTAGATGATAGGAATACATAGGTAGGATATTACATTTGTTCAATTCAAACAAAACATATTCCCATTGGGGAATAATGTAAACTAGTTGTCAAACAAAAAATATGAAGTTTTTAAAATCCGATCTAAATTCAAAGATGAAGAGCCCTTCAGGCATAATCAATTGAAATTTATCACCAAATGTAACACGTTAATTAATGGAAATAAAAGTAATGTTACTACCTACTACGAATAGGAAATAAATCTTCAGAATATACTCACACGATCCCCGGAGGACATCGCGGCACCGAGTTGCGCACCAGGGCCCGATCGTTGTTCGACTTGGTCTGCACTTGCCGCTTCTCGAAGTGCATGTGGCAGATCTTCATCTTGTCTCGTTCCAACAAGTTCTCTTCCAGCTTGGTCGGGTTGTGCTTGTTGACGAAATTCAACCATTTTTGCAGCAGCTCCTCCTCTTTGGGGAAACTACGGAAAGAGGGCGTAGGGGCACAATGAGAGTACTCTCCAAGGGAGGTGAACACCAAGTTCGTATAGAAGTCTCACCTGAAGAAGGAAATCTTGCTATTCTTTTTCCGTTGGTTGCCGCACTTGTCGAACACACAGTACACGAGGACCATGATTTTAGGGCACTTTTCAACTTGAATTTAATAAATTTTCAACTCCGCAAAATGATGCCGATGCAAAACATACACTTTTCTGGACATGACAGTTTAAAGTTCCGGAACCGTACCCTTGGGGTTGGCATACCGTTTGGCGTGAACTCTTCCAAATCCCACCAATAGATAGTAGCAGGAAAGGAAGCTTCAAAAGCTCGTCGTCCATCTTGGTTTTCCTACCTGCTATTGGTTGTAGTCCACGATATGCGCACGCCTAACGATATCCTTCTTGTTAAGCTCTCGGTTAGCTTACAGTGACCTCTACCGGAGGATGTCTTTGATGCATTTTTGAATACATATTTATTGCTTTCGGTTCTTCTGCAAGAACTCCTCAACGTAGCTGTAACATAACAATAAGGTCCTTTTCAGAATAGTTGATAGTCTTTGATTTGAAATTTTGAATTTCCTTTCAAATACGCTATAAACCAGTTCATGTCAAACTATAATTTAAAAAAAAAAATAAAAGTCTAATCTACTAGAAACATAACTGATGATAAAACTAAATGCTTATTATTGCAAGCACAACAACATAAGATTCAATATCCCTCAATATCTGTAATAAATTATCCATCCATCCATCCATTAGCTCACCTTCCCAACTAGAATATCCAGTTCGTGGTTCTCCAAAAATAGCATGCAAGCTTGCGTGCGACTACTTCGATGCTCGTAACGTGTTATTCCACGAGCAAAGGCGCGAACCAAACTGCGAGGAGAGCTTTCCTCTATTATTCGTTAACGAATTCGCTGAGAGGGTGCGGGAGCATATACGTACAGTTGTTATCGTTTCGCTGTTGCATGTAACGTGTATAATTTCAGGTGGCGTTAAGCTTTGGTACATACCTATTTACTGATTCACATGTACTCATAAGAATTGAACAGTTTACCTGCACTTATGCAGCGTGAAAGCACCATGATTGTCAGGGTAGTAAATTAGCATTTGGATCAAGCATTGTCCTTTCATGTCTTTTGAATTATACATTTTTCTTCAGCAGTAGTAGTAACATGACTTTTGATTTGATTTGATTGATCAAGGTGCTACATTTGTTGTTGAATTTCAATTGATTTAGTTTGATTGTATTTTAATAATCAAATATGAAATTTATCGTTTGATAACTCAACTAGTTTACATTATTTCTTTGGGGGCATATTCATTTAATTTTGAAAAATTGTTGTTCAGTACACATATATGCTGGACATTTTTTTTTAGATTACCCAATACAGTCAACTCTCCATTTCTGGGTGTTATATATCTCGATATTCCTCCTTATCTCGATGGTTTGAGCAGTCCCTTCAGATTCCCATATATCCTGTTCTCTCTATCTCGATATGTATTCTCTCTATCTTGATCGTTCTCTATGTCGAAGGTCCCTAGAAAATATTATCTCCATATGTAAAAAATCTGTTTCTAGTTTTGATACGTGATAAACAAATACACTTTTTGATCCCGAAGTGCTTCCAGAATCGTTCTAGTAAATTACTGTTTCGAATGTCGATGGTCCCTTCAATATCGAGAAATGGAAAATCGACTGTACAGTCAACTTTTGCTTGAGGCGGCTGGATAATATTCCCGTTAAAAAATTTCTTGACTTTCCTGGGCAATAGAGTATGATTGTACTTGCCACACAATAATACTAATTCAAAAATGGTACTGACTTAGAAAGCTCCCAATTAACAACTGTGAAAGTTCTCAAAGAACATTAAGTTGAGAGCTGGCTTTAAGTCCAAGTGTAATAAATCGTAATAAATTCAAAGAAGAAGAGAGAGAGTTCTCATTTACCGATTGGTGTTTAAAATTATTGGATGTGTTGTACACGCATAATATTTTTGCTTTGACGTAGGACCACCGACAATCCGACATGAATGACTATACAAAGTATCATAAAATTTCTGATCAAAGCACAAAACTGACATCTGCCGCCGTGTTCGCGAAAAATGTGTATATTAGCCATGAACACGCATACAAAATGTATGAGTTGGTTCGTGTCTAATCTATTCCGGGCAAATTATTTTTATCTAGATAATAAATTTCTATGGTTTTGACAGATGAGATCGCTGCACATTTGAATCAGCCGCTATGGATTCTCGACCGAGAATTGAGTTTAAGTTTCATGTCGGTTTGTCGGTGGTAGGACTACGTCTTTGTTTTCTATTTAGAGGTTCACTTTGCGAGTATAAAAATGAAAATGTAACGAAAAGTGGTAAGGTTTGAACAATTATAACTCGGCTATTTCGTGATACATTTTCAATATTTTTTGTATCAGTCGATTGGAATTTTCTCTACGTCCAATAGGTGAAACTATTGATTTTCAACAATATACTATTGAAAAATTTTGAACTTCAAGCACGGCTAATACATCGTGAAAATCAAAGAATCAATTAACCACGTGTGCCAATTGTAGGACACCCCATCGGGAAACCAGCAAGACATGCCCAAAGCAAGCAGAATTTATTGCTATCCGAAAAAAAGCCTTTACGCAGAATCAACCTGGCTGCAAAAGAGTACCGGATAACAACGGACAGAACTTTCCTGCCATCCTGCAACCGATGCTCACCTTTTACCAACGATCGAGAACGTAGACACTCTGCTTACAAATGCGGACTTGTAACACTCGTGTCCAGTGTTGGAAAAGTTCGCGATATTTAACGAAGTTCACCATGGGAAAAGTTCGCGAGTCATAGTGAGTTATCGTGAACTTTTCCATCACTGTTCGTGTCAGAAGTCATCATTATCCAGCGCACCTGCAGGACCCGAATAGAACAGCTTCTTGTCATGTCCCTCATCAATTAGTATGAACCGTGAGGCCATCCACATTGCTAAGGCTTGCTCGCTCAAGAATAAGAATATCGAGTTCGTTGAATTCCTCAACAAACGAAACATTTATTTCGCCATCATCACCGAAACGCATCTGCAGTCCAAAGATTAAAGTCTACATTCCCAAGTTACAGCTTGTGAGGCTGGATCGAACCAGCTCCGAGGCAGGAGAAGTGGCCATCGATCTAAGGAGGAACATCTATGTACTTCGGCTGCTGAGCGTTCAGCTGAAGACGATCGAAGCCGTAGGGGTGAAAGTTTCTACTCCTGTCAGCCCCATCACCACCGTTGTGGCTTACTGCCCTAAACAGGTCAACATCAGGGACGGGTCGGCAGCAGACATGAGACGAGATATTGTCAAGCTAACACGATGGTGGAAAAACTTTATTATCTCTGGCGATCTGAACGCCAAACATCAAGCTTGGGGCAACAGTGGGCGCAACCAAATCGGCACCATCCTGAACAACGACCTGCAGGAAGCGTAGGACAACTTCTTGAGTCCGGAAACTCCCACCCGGTTGAGTAGGTTCGGTGCCTACGCCACGATCAACATCTATCTTACTTACTTACTTACTTACTTACTTACTTACTTACTTACTTACTTACTTACTTACTTACTTACTTACTTACTTACTTACTTACTTACTTACTTACTTACTTACTTACTTACTTACTTACTTACTTACTTACTTACTTACTTACTTACTTATCCTGGTCAGTGATGGAAAAGTTCGCGTAAACTCACTATGACTCGCGAACTTTTCTCTTGGTGAACTTCGTGAAATATCGCGAACTTTTCCAACACTGATCCTGGTCCGACATCCCTCAGGATTGCACATGCATCACAATGTTACGCCAATTCACTCGATCCGTGGCTGCTTGTCTCCAATTTCTTGACCGTCCCAGACTTCCAAGATCCTGCTCCACTTGGTCTAACCACCTTGCTCGCTGTGATCCTCTTCGTCTTGTACCGGCCGGATTCGAGGCAAACACCAATTTTGCGGGATTGTTGTCCGGCATTCTTAAAACGTGTCCCGCCCATCGTACCCGTCAAGTTTTCACAACTTTCTGGATACAGGGTTCACCATAGAGTTGCGCCAGCTCGTGGTTCATCCTTCGCCTCCATACACCGTTCTCACATACCCCGCCAAAGATGGTCCTATGCACTCGTCGTTTGAAAACACCCAGTGCTTGCAAGTCCTCCTCGAGCATCATCCACGTCTCGTTCCCGTAGAGAACTACCGGTCTTTTCAGCGTCTTGTACATGGTACATTTAGTACGGAGGTGACGTTTACCCGACCTCAGGGTCTTGTGGAGTCCGTAGTAAGCACGACTTCTGGCAATAAAACGCCGACGAATTTATCTGTTGCAGTTGTTATCCGACGTCACCAATGATCCGAGGTACACAAATTCATCCACCACCTCAAACTCATCTCCGTCGATTGTCACGCAGCTAGCAGATACTTTGTCTTCGACGTATTCATCTTTAATCCAACCTTCTCTGCTTCACGTTTCAGCCTGGTGTACTGCTCCGCCACGGCCTGAAACGTTCTTCCGACAATGTCCACTGGCTGGGCTTATTGAAGATCGTGTCCCGCATGTTAAAGCCCGCACGTTTCATAACACGTTCTAGCGCAATGTTGAACAGGAGGCAGGGAAGATCATCGCCTTGTCGAAGTCCTTTGCGAGTTTCAAACGAGTCCGATAACGCACCCGATATCTTCACGCAGCACTGTACACCATCCATCGTAGCCCTGATCAGTCCGGTCAGCTTCCCGGGAACACCATAGCTCTTCACGGTCAATAGTATCATAAGCGGCCTTGAAATCGATGAATAAAGGGCGAACACGAAATTATTGCGACACATTACAACAGGGCATAACCTTTTTACCATTGGGTAAAAATCAACCAAATTTTGCACACTTTCTCATTGATGTGTATTGTGTACATGCTGTCAAACTCGAAGTCGTGTTTTTCGATTCAACGAAAATGGAGGTGAACCAACGCGAGTTGAGAGAACAAATTCTTTCCAAACACCTGGAATTTCCTGACCTGTCGCACCGGCAGTTGGGAAAAATGTTGAACATTCACCATTCAACCGTCTCCAGAGTGTTGAAGCGGTTCCAGGAGCGGTTGACGTTGGACCACGGCAAAGGAGCTGGAAGAAAACCGGGACCGGAGAACAAAAAGACGGAGGGAAAGGTGAAGCG